GAGCTCTGGCGTGGGCTGGTCCATGAGGTCACGAGGAGTCGGAGACGACTGAACGAATGAACAACAACAACTGATTCCAGAATTCAGCAGAGGTTATATTCACTGAGACATCATTTACACATACAACTCCATCCCTTTCAAAACCACTCTCACCAGTCGGAGCCGCGCCCGTCTAACATCCATGCCGTACTTCTCCAGGATGGGCTGCAATGCCTCCTGAAGGTTCTTAGTAGATTTTGCCAGAATACGCACTTTCTTATTGATAGGAATTAGTTCCAGCCTGCAAGGAAATCACAATAAACATATTTAGTCCTAGCTGAACCAATTCTTGCTAACAGCACTTATGGTATCCCCATGTAAAATATATTATCACTCTGTGGGATCCATGCTTTATATTAACCAACTCCAGATGAAGGATAACAGAATACCCTGGAGCCCCCAGTGGCGCAATGGGTTAAACCCTTGTGCCGGCAGGACTGCTGACTGAAAGGTCGGCAGTTCAGATCTGGGAAGCGAGGTGAGCTCCCATCTGTCAGCTCCAGCTTCATGCAGGTACATGAAAGAAGCCTCCCACAGGATGGTAAAATATCTGGGCGCCCCATGGGTGATATCCTTGCCGACGGCCAATTCTCTCACACCAGAAGTGACTTGCAGTTATTTCAAGTCACTCCTGACACCAAAAAAGAGAAAAAAACCAGAATACCCTGTTCCATTGTAGAAATTTATGCTTGCAAATTATTGTCTTTAATGGTGAGCCCCTTTTTACAACCAAACTAAGATCCCAAGAAAGGATCCAGGATAGGAGTCTGCATTACTGAGCACAGAGAACAATCTGGTTGATAAAGTGAAAGGAATATTCACCGAGGTCAGGTGGAGTGACGCCTAATGATCAGTCCCATGAGACATAATTAAGTAATGAGAACTTTTTACTTATCCTTTTGATTTGTGCTCTGAGAGGCAAAATCTCTTTGGTGACAGTAAGTTCTGGCCAGTGGCCATACTGACTTAAAAAGGTGCTTCCAGATTGGGTAAAGTTGCATAAATTCTTCCAGAATAGTTTTGCTTGCTGTTCTCTCCTCTGTATATCCTTCCAAATGCATATTCTTCTTGTAGTGAACGGTGTCAGCTCAATTTCCCTCCATTCCTAAATATACTGTAGTCATCTTAGCTGTCCCTGCTCATCCACCCAGAAGGCACCCATGGTTTCTATTTCTCTTTGCACAGTATTCCATGATTTAAAAAATCAATTTAAGTTAAGGATGGAAATAAACTGTTGCAGCTAGTTCTGAGAATTTCTTGAATATACTCTGGGATAAAAACATGGTTTAAATTGTACCCAAGAATGAAGAATGACAGAAAGGAGCAGAACGAGCCCTTTGTATTCACTGGAATTTGGTTCCAGGATCCTTGTGAGTACTCAAGTGCCATTATATACAATACCACAGTAAAATGGTGTTCCTTATACAAAACGGCAAAATCAAGGTTTAGCTTTTGGGGATTAAAAAACTATTTTTCAAGCTGTTGATGGTTGAATCTGTGCATGCAGAATCCATGGATACAGAGGGCCAGCTGTACCGCAACTTCCTGGCATATTTTTCCCCCTCTGGATGTGACACTACAGAATCCAATGAGGCAGAGTGGGGAGAGGAATTATATCTCCAAGTGTGATGTAGACAGTGGTCTTGCAGGCTGCCTGCTAGCAACCCTGAAAATCTGCTCAATCAGCCATCAGTGGAAAACTAGAATATGGAAGATCATTCTGTGGATCCTGCATGTTCCCAGGAGACTCGGAGAGACATAAAGGAGCTCTGTTTACATTGTTTTGAGGGGATGTATATGGGCAGAAAACTCTGTCCATATGTTGAAATGAATGAAGCACGGTTTGCTAGTTACAGAGTATGTGGCCAAAGCAAAATAGATGAAATTTCAGAGGTTTCACAAATAAACAGAGGTCATACTCACTCAAAGCTGATCCTAGTCTCCAGTTTAACTTCCTGGTCCACCAGGACTAAGCTTTCCTGGTTCAGTGCCAGTGGCTTCTATGAAAGGCAGACATATTAATAAAGCAGAAAAGAACACTGAAATATTAATGCTTATTTATGTGCACATGTTTGTATGGCAATGTCTCAAGTTATTTTAAAACTACGCAATAAGGCTAAATGCACACACAAGTGGTCTCTTCATAAATTAGACCAAGAATACAATTCTCAAATGATAGCTCCCAAACACCAGTTCAAAAGCATTGTGTAACAAGAGAAAATGTAGGTGATTGGGAGCTTTCCATGACTGGCTGGAGACATTATACTGCTTGATATGGTACCACAACCAAGTCAAGATGCATACTTTTCAAGCAAGTTGAGCTGCAAACCCTGTAAGATTCTCTCCACCTCCCTTACAGAAAAATACACTAATCACAAGTGAAATAACTAATAATATTTGTATCATCTAAAATCAGCCATTTCACTTTGTCTAAGGGAGGGGTCTTCTTTTTTTCCTATTTTACATGTTTTGAAAACATTCTTTTAACTGGGTATCAATCACCTCTTAATGTGAGTCTAAATAATGTAACATGTATCCTTGCACTATCCCCTTAAAATGTTTTAAAATGGCCACAAATATTTTAAGATTCAATTCCACGGGGCAAATTTAGTTTTTATTTTTTTCCTTGTGTATATCAGTCTTTTAAACTGTAGAATAAAAGGTTATATTTATGTGCTTGGATGGCAATGACAGCAATTCATTGACAGGAGGAAGAACTAGCGTGGAGGGCCATAACCTGCGACGTGCAAGACTAAGCCAAGTGGTCATAGGTGGCATAAATCTCACAGGAAACCCTTGTTCTCTCCAATCATCTACAACAGATACGAGCAATTTAAAAGCAATCAAACTGTAAATATTTTCTCTTTAAAGGCTTAATGAACAGAGTAATTTAAATCAGTCAAGGAAGAAGGAGGTGTTCCTAGGGCGGAAATTGTCCGCCCTAGGAACACTTTGAATGGACTTACTCTGCGGAATTGGCTAAAAAAAATTTGAACAGTCCTATTACAAAAATTGTCAAGTAAATCAAGATATGTGAAGGGGGAGAAACATATGGACAATTATGATTAAATTTGGTTTCCCTCTAGTCCATCTTTAAATAAAGAGCTTTCTATGTGTCATTCACCAAAATGTCACTCGAAATTTTGGAAAGATATTTTAGCTGACCCTAAAACCAAAGAGAAAGTAATTATATTACAGTATATTATTTATTATTTATTTATTTATTTATTTACTTTGCTTATATACCGCTGTATCTCAAGCCCGAAGGCGACTCACAGCGGTTCACAAACAGTAAAAACAGTAGAAACAGCAGTGGTTCCATACAACATATAACAATTGACTTAACACATTATCCATAAATTACCAATAAGCAATTACAATGCACAATTATTACAAAAAACAACCGTGCCCAATCTTCTCATCATCCAAGCGTAGTCCAGGTTCGTCGTCCATTGTTCCATTCCTATGTTCCATTACCAGATTGCACTAAAATACTCAAACGCCTGCACAAACATCCAGGTCTTCACCTTTTGCGGAATACCATTAGAGATGGTGCTAGTCTAATGTCCGTAGGAAGGGCGTTCCACAGCCGAGGAGCCACCACCGAGAAGGCCCTATCTCTCGTCCCCGCCAGCCGTGCTTGAGAAGCAGGCGGGATCGAGAGCAGGGTCTCCCCGGAAGATCTCAAAGTCCTGGTGGGTTCATAGGCAGAGATGCGGTCGGATAGGTAGCTTGGGCCGGAACCGTTTAGGGCTTTAAAGGCCAACGCCAGCAATTTGAATTCAGCCCGGTAGCAGATCGGTAGCCAGTGGAGTTGGCGCAACAGGGGGGTTGTATGCTCCCTGCGCTCCGCTCCTGTTAAAATCATGGCTGCCGAGCGTTGGACTAGTTGGAGCTTCCGAGCTGTCTTCAAAGGCAACCCCACATAGAGAGCGTTGCAGTAGTCTAAACGGGATGTAACCAGAGCATGGACTACCGTGGCCAAGTCAGACTTCCCAAGGTACGGGCGCAGCTGGCGCACAAGCTTTAGCTGTGCAAATGCTCCCCTGGTCACCGCCGAAACCTGGGGTTCCAGGCTCAGCGATGAGTCCAGGGTCACACCCAAGCTGCGAACCTGCGTCTTCAGGGGGAGTGCGGCCCCATCCAACACAGGCTGTAACCCTATGCCCTGTTCGGCCTTGCGACTGACCAGGAGTACCTCTGTCTTGTCTGGATTCAATTTCAATTTGTTCGCCCTCATCCAGACCGTCACAGCGGCCAAGCACCGGTTCAGGACCTGGACAGCCTCCTTAGTAGCAGGTGGAAAGGAGTGACAGAGTTGGACATCCTCCGCGTACAGATGACACCGTACCCCGAAACTCCGGATGATCTCCCCCAGCGGCTTCATGTAGATGTTAAACAACATGGGAGACAATATTGAGCCCTGAGGAACCCCACAAGACAATGGTTGTGGGGTTGAACAGGTGTCCCCCAACAACACCTTCTGAGATCGACCCTCCAGGAATGACCGGAGCCACTGCAAAACAGTACCTCCAAGACCCATCCCCGCGAGGCGTCCCAGAAGGATACCGTGGTCGACGGTATCGAAGGCCGCTGAGAGGTCCAGCAGCACCAACAGGGACACACTCCCCCTGTCGAGCTCCCGGCGCAGATCATCCACTAAGGCGACCAAGGCTGTCTCGGTACCATGTCCCGGCCTAAAGCCAGACTGTGCCGGGTCTAGATAATCCTTGTCTACCAAGAATACCTGGAGTTGTGAGGCCACCACACGTTCCAAGACTTTGCCCAAGAAGGGGAGATTGGAAATGTAACCCCTTCTTGTTTTCTAGAGTATTAACAATCATGACACTTAATTCTGTTTTTTTTTCTTTTAAAATTTTAAACAGAGCATGACATTACACCAACTTGAAATATTTATTTACTTATTTATTTATTGCATTTATATACTGCTTTTCTCTCTCTAAGGGAACTCAAAGCGGTTTCTAACATTATAAAGGCAAAATTCAATACTGTACATACACATGAAAACCAAAACATAATAGCTAGACAATAACATATAACTATAAATTAAAAATACGTTCTGTTATTGTAGATTTTGTTCATTTTCTTGTTTTCTGTCTTTGTTACAGTTTTTAATGTGTATATTAGACTTTTAAAAGTAAAAATTGAAATAGGAAGAATGAAGCATGATGATCACAGGCTTGCTTTATATAATATTCTGCTGTGTTTCTGTGACTTACTTCTGGAAAAACGTACATACTACAGTAGTAGTGCTTTGCCTGCTTGAAAGCTTATACTGTTATTTACTCCACAGGCATGCACAGAAGAACTCCTTTTTCTCTTTCTTTCCTTTCTTGAATGCAGTCCTTGTTGTGGATAATGTTTTCAATTCTTTTTCCAATGTGAAGCACGGATTCAAAAAGAAATCAGAAGGAACCTTTGGACCAAGGTTGCCCTGGGGGGCTATTCACAATCCCATTCTTCTTACATGTGTAAGACAGTAATATTATTGGCCACATAATACTTTAAAAACCATTTTAAAGATTACTGAGATGTCTTGAGATAAGACATTCTGAACAAATTCACTACATAAATGCTACATAAACTATGCATTTTAAAAAAAAGCATCCAATGAATGCACTGTAAGATTACCAAAATTCCACTAAATGCAATAAGATTTATTCTCTATCTAACAACCACCTCAGGCATTAGTCCTATATATTAGTTGTAAGCAAGCCTATTTATATCAGTGAGACTTATTTCTAAGTAGCATGATCCAACAGGAGGGCTTTAATACATATCTAATTTAGGAAACAGGAAACTTGATTTATTTTTCTTAGGAATAACCAGTGAGCATATGCAAATCTTGTAATCAGCTATAAATTGAAAAGTATTTGTCTAGTGCAAATAGATCTTTTGTATCCAATCAGGGTGGTCATCTGATTTCTTAGATAAATATTTATTTGCTGCATTTTGCAAAAGAGGAATTCTAATAAAGCAATTCAAAAGTCAAATAAATTTGAACTGTGCAGTACTTAGACCACCATTTCCCAACAAGATGCTTATCAGTTGTGTTGAATTACAAGTGCCATAATCTACAGTCCAACTGTAGGGGTCACACGAAAAAAACAGGGCTTGTATACCTTGAATAGTGTTGTGGAGAAAAGTGTTATGGGCCTTCCACCAGCCAGCTAAACTGAGCTCAACTAAGTGCCTTGGCCCTGAGATGCTACCCTGATAGCAAAGCTGGCCTGAAAGCTGACCCCATTGTTTGACCAGCTGACCTACCAAGCCAATGAAGAGACATGAGGTCCTATGAAAACTCTTTCCTCTAGGCTAGTCCAATAGTTTCAGTAACTAATTACATCATGTACAAACCCAGAGCCACATGCCACACCACACTCTGTCTAACCACATTTAGACATTTGCCCAATCTGATATCTGACCTCTAGCCTGCCTGTGAGTGTGCATAGCATCCCATTAGTGAAGTATGAAAGTTTAATTAATATGCAACTTTTTTTGGTGGTTGTGAGTGGAACAATTTAATATTTCCACCTATTAGAACTCTCCACAAGCAATCTACTGGTTTTCTGGCTGAATGGCAGATGATATGGTGGAAAGGACAAAGGTGCAGGCAGGCAGTGAGTCAGATCCATTCCTATAGTTGCCCACAGGAAGAACAAAGCATCCTCCTGGACCCCGGAAGGTCCTACAAAAGGTCAAGAGAATGCCATCTTCTTCCTGCTGCCAGGTCCAGCTATTTGTCTGTCTATCTGTTTACCTTCAGTCGCCTTACATCCTACTTTGGCTCCTGAATGATGTGGAGATGTACCCACACAGAAAACAAGTGGGTCAAGTGTGCAGGGAGGTGGAAGCTCCACCCAGCGGAACTTTACAACCCAGCAGCACGATACAGGATCTTGGTCAAAGTCTCCTGCTTTGGACCTTTGTCTAATTTGGCACTTCATACATTGCTAATTTACACTGTCTTGCTCTCTCTTTCTAGCCCTGGGTGTTTACCCTCTGTGACCTTCAGATGATGTTGAGATATAACTTCCATCATCGTTGCCCAACATAGTCAGTGATGAGACATTACAGCAGTCCACCAACACCTGGAAAGATACATGCTGCCCATCCCTGCTCTAGTCCACCCCATTACCCACATCACAGCTATGCTCAGTGACAGTATGTCACAAACCTGACGCCTGTAGATATGGAAGGGTATTTTATACATGATTCTAAACTTAACATTTGCTACACCAGCTATTCTAATGACAGTGTAGAACTACATTTCCTAAAAAGTACTTCTGGCTTAGAAACAGCTCTCTTATGTATCATATCTAGCATCCTCACCCACACATGCACTCAAATAACACAAACACAAATTAAAGATACTGTTAGGGTGATGTGAAAATGCCCTAATGGTATATACCACCAACTTAAATTCAAAAGGTGTATTCCAGCTTTTTAAAACTTATGGGCTTTCTTATTAGAAAAAATGAAATAAAGGAGGGATGGGAATCATGTAGTACTCTAGAGCTGGTTGGACTGTAACTTCCAGCACGCCTTACTTCTAGCTAAGGATGCAGGAATTCATAGTCTAATAACACCTGGAATGCTGTCTGTGTACTAAAAGGAGCGGAGGAGCCAAGGCTCTGGTTCCTACAAAAGTTTAGGCATGCAGTTGCCTTGATTTGCTGGCTTCCCAGCTCAAACGTTTATATTTATTGTCAGGTTATGGAATAGTGGAATGGAGCTGGGGAGCTGTTGTAAGCTTAACTTTGAAAGTGTTCCAAACCATTCAGATTCATTGTCTTCACAATCCACCTTTCAAAGCAAATATTTGCACGTGAAAGTGGATGATGAGGTGGTTTGAAGCTGACAGAATACTGGGCTTCCAAACCCTTTTTACTTTACTTAGTATTGGTAAATACAGCACCGCATCCCCCTTCTCTTAGATTCCTGTAGTGGTGCTTTTTCTTTTAAGACTGCCTTATTTTTCTCCTCAGCAAAAAAGTGGATCTTTTAGTGCTTGGATGAGAGACTGCGGACAAATACCAGGTGTGGTAGGCTATATTTCAGAGGAAGGGTTTGGCAAAACCATCTCTGAGTATTCCTTGCCTAATAAAACCTTAGAAAATCCATGGGTCACTTTAAGGCATACACACATACCTTTTCGTTCCCCACAAGGTAAATCTTGACATCCGGCAGATGGAGGCCACGGCGCTGACATATTCCAGACAGCATTTCCTGGATGGAGAGACCAGGCCGCACTGGAGCTAACGAAGCAGTCCCGTCAGGCAGATAAATACAACAGTACTTGATGGGCTGGTTTTGATTTTCAGATTCTGGGCCTGTCAGGCTTTTTCGGTGATTCTGGAGAAGGGGAAAGGGCTTTTTACAGTGGTAGCTATTTCAATAATCATATATTTTCCTACTCCAAAGTCAGTCATCGAGATCAGCAGCACCCTAAATCTTCTCCCCATCCCACACAGCCATTTCACCTTTTACATTCATGAGAGACCTTATCACAATGGAGAAAATTGACCCTAACTGTATACAGGGCTAAGAAAAGAAAACACTTATTGGTTTTATTTTCTTTCATATAGTTTTCTCTAAATCCTGTTGCATGGGAGCAATTATAAGGAAAGAGAATGCTGCAGGTTTTATTATTATTATTTGTCGTGTCACGAACAAATTGAGAAGCTGCAAGTCGCTTCTGGTGTGAGAGAATTGGCCGTCTGCAAGGACATTGCCCAGGGGATGCCCAGATGTTTTGGTGTTTTATCATCCTTGTGGGAGGCTTCTCTCATGTCCCCACATGAGGAGCTGGAGCTGACAGAGGGAGCTCACCCTCAGTCTCCCCGGATTTGAACCTCCAACCTGTCGGTCTTCAGTCCTGCCAGCACAAGGGTTTAACACACTGCGCCACCAGAAGCTCCATAGAATTAACTATAGAATTAACACAGTTGGACACTATTACTATAGTTCAATGCTCTGGAATCACTGGAGTTTTACAAGGTTATTAATTTTCTTTGACTAGTAGTGGTGCTTCACCATGCAACTTGATTTCATAGCATTGAGCAATGTTTGTTAAAGTGATGTCAAATGGCATTAATTCGACAGTATGGATCAGGCATGGGCAAACTTCGTCCCTCAGCTGCTGCTGAATCTAATTTCCCCCTCTTCTTATTTTTTCTCTTTGCATGTTGCGTCTTTATTTTGATTGTAAGCCTGAGTGCAAGAAGCTTAAGTGGCTGAAGGGGAAAAGGAAAGGGCCTGAGCCTGTCAGGAATTGTGGGAGTTGAAGTCCAAAACACCTGGAGGGTTGAAGTTTGCCCATGCCTGATATAGATGATGATTGGCTGTTGCAGAAGGGCTTCCACATGGGTAATGTATCTCTTATCTTCCTTATCACATTTTAAATGTGTTTAAATTGTTTAAAATTAGTGTCTTTTAGTGGGATTGGTTATTTTTTATTTTAAAAAATTGGACTGCAAATGGTTTTACTTTATTTTTTAAAGTTGTAGCCCACTTTGGGTCCCAGTGGGATATAAATATTAAAAAGAAAGAAATCAATAAATCAAGTCAAGAATTTTGCCAGATGAATCCACCAATATTATTCTGAGCTGTCCTAAGGCTAGTTCTCTGAAGTCGTCCCCATCTTTGCAGACAGTCCTTTGTATATATTTTTCCTTGGACTTTATTCCTTGCACATGTGCCAATTTTAAGAAACAAAAGCAGAAGTCCTGAATATATTTCACTGGGAAAATTAAATCCCAATGATTTCGGATTATGCTGCATCTATTCTATGTGTTGTTGAAGGCTTTCATGACTGGAATCACTGGATTGCTGTTAGTTTTTCGGGCTGTATGGCCATGGTCCGGTAGCATTCTCTCCTGGTGTTTTACCTTCATCTGAGGCCGGCATCTTCAGAGGTCTGTTGAAGGTGAGGCAAGTGGAGCGTTCTCTCCATAGATTTATATACACTCCACTTGTCTCACCTACAACAGACCTCTGAAGATGCCAGACACAGATTTAGGCAAAATGTCAGGAGAGAATGCTACCGGAACATGGCCATACAGTTTAAAAATCTGACAGCAACCCTGCATCTGTTCTTCTGGAATGTGGTACAATCTCTGCATCCATGGAAGATATGTTCCAACACACACACACACACACACGTGGATACCCGAAATAATGGATAACAGCAAACCTTACATTTTAACTAAAATTGGGCTGGAAGCATATCATAGAATTGCACTGGAGAGTAATATATAATGCACACGTTCTCACGTTTGTTCCATTTTGCAAAAGGGGCAGTGCTAGCTCTCTTAAGACAATGTCACCCTATGTATGTTCTCCTTTCATCAACCACTGTAATCAGGAGGGAAAGCTTCATCCCCACCAGCTGGGACTCTCAAGGGAAGTTTAAGCAAATCTGTTCAACTGTTTTGGGGAAGGGTGTTCATGGCGGGTGGGACTGGGACTGTACCAGCTGTACAAGTACTGCCAGTGGCAGTCAAAGAGATTTCCACGTTGCAGAGAACTCCTCCACACTGCACAGTCACATAGCTCATTATAGATTGTGTGGGGGTTGCATAGGACCCATGGAGCAACAGTCACGGCAAAATGTTAAGCAAGAGCCAAGCGCCCACACAGTACAGCAGGGAGCACCAATCACGCTGGCGGGTGGCAGCCCCAAATGTCTAAGCTACATGGGTTCCAGAAGCTCTCACCTCCGACTGGGAACTGCTGGTTGTATAGGAGGACAGGAAGCCCAGGTCCAAGCTAGCCGAGGAATTCAGAGAGCCTTGGGATTCACGCCAGTGGGATGGTCCTTCACTGCCATTTCTCTCCTCTAGGATAGAAAAGCCAGGCTAGAGCATGTGGCAGAGACCAGTCTGGAATTTGGAATTACAGCTCCTAGAAACCCCCATGATCACGTTGCTTAGCCGTTTTCTAGGAGTGTTGTCCAAAATAGTAATGTTTCCAAGCCCCAGGCCAATCAATAAGCACTCCTGGTGTCACCCTAACCTCAAATTTACAATGGTTGTATCCCTGCATATACTCACCTCCCCGGGCACGGTCCCCTTTCCGGAAGGATCTACGAGGACTCCTGCTGGGCACACTGCTTACTGCCTCCACACCAAGTGGCAGGGACTTCCCTAGTTTTAGTTTTGTTTTCTAGAGGAAAGTCAGAGATTCTATCAACTCACGGCATACTGGAGACAGAAGGAGGGGAAATGGAGACAGAAGGAGGGGAAACCTTGCAGCTACTATTCTCCCAAGCTGAAAAAGGAGACCTTGTACCTTGCCGTGTTCGGTTGGGGGGCTGCCACATTGGGAATGAGGCCTCAGTTCTGGCAAGGGCTGCCCTTGGCTTTCGGCCCTTGCACATGCCTGATACTGTGGAGACTTGACAAAGCGGGCATAGCTGTCAAATTTCATCAGGTTGAAGATCTGAAGCAAAAAGCATTGTGTTAGTTAATGACCATCTCTGCAGCAATTCGGACTTGAACCACCAATAATGGATGGAAGTGGTAGCAGTGTTGCTAATTAGAGTAAGAGGTAATGTTCCACTCTTGCTGGGCCTTTTTCTTTTTTCTACGAACACACCCACTTCCAGACTACAACTAGTAGATTATTCTCACCTGGAGTTGCTGGACATTAAACATATCTGGGGTGGGAGTAGCCAACATCTCCTCACCAATCCAAGCCTGTCTGTCAATGTTGACTGGGTTTACAGAATGACTTGACAAGAACTCATTGTAGATCTTCCGAGCCTCCTGGGACAGCTATGGAGAAAACATGGGGAGTGAAAGTCAGAATGCTACTATAAAGAGGAAGCAGAAGTATTAGGGCAGATTATACTCATGCCATCCGTGCTGCATTCCTAAATACAAAACGTAAGAGGAGAACAATTAGAGCCTGTCTGTTTGTTTAAGATGTTTATGGCTGACACAACAAAAGAAATTGAAACAGCAATAAGATTTTCCATACAGTAAAAATGAAAAGCCTTCAATTTTCAAGCATAATAAAAATCTAAAAGGCCTAACAGAGGAATGCCCTGGCCTGGTCTCAAAAGAGTTTTATTTGGAAAAACATTCAACAGAGGATAGTTCTACAAATGGGAAAGCCCTTCATCTTCTACACTAATATTATTCAACAAGGATATCTGAGGAAGGAGTTTCAAAAAATGTAAAGGTAAATGTTTCTCCTTGACATGAAGTTTAGTTGTGTCCAACTCTGGGAGGTGGTACTCATCTCCATTTTTAAATGAAAGAGTCGCCATTGTCCGTAGACACCTCCAAGGTCATGTGGCCGGCATGACTGCATGGAGCACCGTTACCATCCCACATTTGCATGTTTTCGAACTCTAGGTTGGCAGAAGCTGAGGCTAACAGCAGGAGCTCACTCCGCTCCCCAGATTTGAACCGCCAGCCTTTCAGTCAGCAAGTCACTGCCCCACCAGGGCCTCTTCAAAAAGTGTACCAGCATTTATTTGATGACAGAAATTCACATTCTGTGAAATTCTTTTTAGATGTTCCTAGCCTTTTTGCCTGTGTAGGTACATTGGAAAGTGTGTGAATAATCTCCGTCATCGAAGTGAAGGAATTTGGTACACTTCATTACTTCTTTGCCTCTGGTAGAAGCAGAAAAAATAGGCAAATGCATATTTGCATAATGTATTGTACTTTCAGTATCCTGAAAATATGGTGCCTTCCAGATTTACTAAACTACAGCTTCCCTCCTCGCTTACTAGCATCCATACTAGCTGGATATTATCAAAATTTTAGTCTACACTTCTGGAAGACTATTGATTTACATTTTATTTTCTTAATAAAGCTGTTCAGGTTCTGAACTGCTGCTTGACAGCTGTGACGGTCTGGATTAGGGCAAACGAATTGAAACTGAATCCAGACAAGACAGAGATCCTCCTGGTCAGTCGAAAGGCCGAACAGGGCATAGGGTTACAGCCTGTGTTGGATGGGGTTACATTCCCCTAAAGACACAAGTTCACAGCTTGGGAGTCGTCCTGGATTAATTGTTGAGCCTGGAACCCAAGGTCTCAGCAGTGGCCAGGGGAGCTTTCGCACAATTCAAACTTGTATGCCAGTTGCACCCATGCCTTGGGAGGTCAGACTTGGACACAGTGGTCCATGATCTTGTTACATCCTGACTACTACTACACGCTCTATATGAGGTTGCCTTTGAAGATTGTTTGGAAGCTTCAAGTGGTCCAACGAGAAGTAGCCAGACTCCTCACTGAGGCAGTGTACAGGGAGCATACAACCCCGCTGTTACATCAGCTCCACTGGCTGCCAGTCTGCTACCGAGCACAATTCACAGTGCTGGCTTTAGCCTACAAAGCCCTAAACAGTTCAGGCCCAGCTTACCTGTCTGAACCTATCTCCCTCTATGAAATACCTCAAAGATTGATCATCTTGGGAGACCCTGCTCTTGGTCCCATCTCCTTTGCAGGTGCAGTTGGTGGAGACAAGAGACAGGGCCTTCTCAGTGGTGGCTCCTCAACTGTAGAACTCCCTCCTCAGTGAAATTAGATCGTTGCCCTCCCTCTTGGCCTTCAGAAAGAGAGCAAAGACATGGCTGTGGGACCAAGCCTTTGGACAGTGAGTAGTGCAAGAATTGAATAGGGAATATGTGCAATTGACAACTGGAATGGCTTCATATTAAGATTTTGGATTACATGACTTTAATGTTTATACTAAGATATTTTAACTGTATGTTTTAATATCTAAATATTGTTTACACTTTATGTTTTAATAAGGTTACTGTTTTTCATTTATAGTTATTTGTTATTGCCTAGATATTATGCTTTGGTTTTCACATGTATGTACGGCATTGCATTTTGCCTTTATTATGTTGGAAATGGCTTTGGGTCCCCCCAGGGGTGAGAAAATATAAATGCAGTAAATGAATAAATAAATTTGTTTTCTTTTAAGTGCAATGTATTACCTTGCTATCTGAAACTAACCTGCAGAGTAGGTTTGTATCTGCATGTATAGTAATTCTAGTCTGAGGATAGTTTAACTGGCATGGCTACATTTTAAAGAATCCTGGGACTTGTGGTTGTGGGGTACTTATAATCCTTTCTAAACAGACGCTATAGCTGTCCCAACAAGAATCCTAAGTACTTCACTAAACTCTGGATTCCGTAGGCTGTAACCATGGTACTTAATGTGATACAAAACAAATACAACTTAGATAACCTCTAAGAATCATTTTAGCACATCTTAGCATTTCACCTTTCCTTTACACCAAGATACAGTGCTATCGTGGGTGTTACGTTCCAGGACCAAAAAGTGAAAAGCAAAAAGTGAAAATCCGCAAAGTAGGGACGCTATATATGTATATTGCATTCCGAGGATGAGGCAGAAGAGAGGAGAGATTTAAAGACACCGTGTACTTTTTTTTGCTAGCTATCTCTGCTTTGCTTTGCAATCTCTCTTGATTGGCTGCCTCTCTCCTGAGGGGGAGGGTGAAACCCCCTTCCACACTCCATCAGGAGGGGGGATTAGAATGACACTCTGGGCAATGGCAACCATTCATAAATTGGGAGGCAAAAACCTGAGAAACAGCAAGTCTTCGAAAAGCTAACTGCGAAGTAGTGAGGGAAGACTGTAGTTGTGAAATGCACCTGCCTGCAGTATTAAATCTTGTACAGAAACTCGCTTCTTGAAAATCCCAGCCTTCATTTGTCTGCAGTGAGATCTCATGTCAGACTGGAATCAACCTAATTTATTCCTGCTCAGACTATATGTATTTCCCCTTTTAGTACATAATGCAGCCTCTTGGTGCAGAATTTGGTTCTCTCCTACTTAGTGCCCCAGGAAATCCTCTTACCTGTTCTGTACAGTTAGCTGGGATCTGCTGGAACCGTTCACAGGCTTGCCAGAAATACACATTCTCAGCACTAAACTCCTTCTTCAGAAACTCCTAGAAAAAGAGGGTAAGGATAAAGTTGACCTCACTCTGTCCCAATGTAGAGAATTTAGTATTTTAGGACAGGGGGAGTCAAAGGCCCAAGACCAGACTGTTCGCTAACAGTACAAGTTGTCCAGCCCATACAGGCAATGATGTCTACTACAGATAGAAACAGACAGCTTCAGTCAGTGGAGGAACTGGAAAGAAAAGAGGAAAACTTGCTGCCATTCAAACAAGATTAGAAGAACTGGAAAGCAGAGAGGAGATGGCACTGTTCATCTGACGAACAAAAAACAGTACTATAAGGAGTCTGTACACAGCAAAGCAGAAATCAGTCAAGGAAAGTGACACGTACAAGGCAAGGACTGTGCAGAGGGAAGTCAGGACAAGGAGTAGTGCAGTTTGGAACTCACAGTGAAATAGGCAACCCCAAGTCGGTCCTGCAGCAGTGTCTCAAAGGACTCAGCCCAGCGGGCTACGGATTGTCCCAAGGAGTGAGAAATACCCTGGGTATTTGGCAGACTGACCACACTGTCATTACTGCCCCGGACCCCAGAGCTGTTTAACTCTGTGAAACAGAGAGATAGTTCAGTTCCTTCACAGGCCCAATAGTTGCAGTGATGTTGTGACTCAAGGCCTGCACAACTTGGCAATGCTCAGGGCCACAATTAACCCCCCAAAAGCCTTGCTGCCTGAGGTGATGGATGAGAAGACACCTGTTCTTCCATTCCATTTACAAAACCTAATTGGACTGGCAGGTGTATCTTAGTTCAATAGTGGAAATAGGACAGAGTCCACCGCCACAACTGAAGGAAGCAAGTTCAGAACAGTTGCTTGATTGCCTCCCTCTCCTCCCCACCTCATGGGGAACAATAGCTACCAGGATTGGGGTGGGGCGGGCACAAAAGGGATTCAGTGAAACATGTATTCCCTGAGATCAGGCATGTAGCTGGTGGGGTGGGGGCTTGAGGGGCTTCAGCGCCGCCCCACCCCCCCCGAAATTATCAGGGTGGTCTGCGAGAAGGCCTTACTGGTGCATTATTTAAACTTTTATGTTTATTCATATCATGATCTGATCACCATGCACAATATATCCCATATGCATGGGGGTATTGGGGTAACGATACAAAAGGTTTGCTAGGGTAGATCCTCAGCCCCCCACCCCCAAATCAAAATCCTGGCTACGGGCTTGCCTGAGATGGCCACATACCCCTGTCTACTAGGAATGTCGACCCTGACCAAGGCTGCAATTCACTTTCCAGTAGATGGACATAGCCATTTGACATCATGAGTTCCACCCCCAACTAAACATCCCAGGATCTTCTGAGCAAATTGTGTTTTATCATCTAGGAGCACAATGCTGTTTTATGACATTCAAAGTATCAGTCTGGGTGAATGACAGATAACCAGATCTTTCTCTTCTGATTGGGTTTGCCAGCCATACCACTCCACACCTCATTAACCTGCCATTAAAAGGCATCTGAACCCACAAATCCACCACCATTTCCCAAGCCAGAAGCTTTACTTACCCCCATCTGATGATGCCAGGCCCTGCAAAAGAAAGCACAATTTGACATAATCCTACCTAGTATGGATAATGTTCCCTGCTCAGGTGTCAGGCATTTGGATTATTCACAGGTGCAGCTCCAGGTCATTTGTTTCACAAATATCTCAGCCTCAGGAAAAGTGCCAGGTGATGCCTCATCACATCAGCAAATCAACTAGCAAAGTCTGTTGCCATTAGAACCTCCAGCAAGAAATAGAAAGCAGTGGTGCCTTAGAGAAGGCAATGAGCTACAGATTTTGCTTAGCCCCTATCCCTGGACTCACCTCAGGTGGAATGATCAAGATGATATCTGTCACTAGGAATTACTTTTCTACACAGTGGTAGAATTCTAGGACCATATACATCTATCAATAGGGATAGTTCAGATATGTTACAGTGACCAGCCTTGTTAAAACCCCACAGTTTATTCAATCAAATTACACACTGGTGAATATACAAACAGTGATTATATTACTGCTAAGAAGGGACCAAGTCAAAATTCCTTGATATACAAGGCTCCTTGGTTTAAGTACATTTCAAATCACACTGGTCTGAAAATAACATGTGCGGAGCCTTGTGACAGAACATATCTGTTACCTCGGCCTGTCTAACACCATGGCACAGATAATTTTCCATTTTAGCAATTCCTCTCCTGCAGGACCCCATGGCCAACCCCAAATACTTTGTTGCTTGAGGCAGAGAAGCAGATGAGACCTCTCCCCCTCAGAAGTCAAGTTCCAATGAGAAAGCCAATTTTTGAGGCACCTGAGTCCTACAAGACCCTCTTCATGCTCCTTAGCACTAATAATAATACACTAATAACGAATTGCAAAACAATTTGCTGTCCTTTAGTAACACTCAGAATAATCCGCATGAGGTGTCTACCTGATGGTAGGACCTGTCCAAGATGGCTTCTTGGGCCAAGTTCGCTCAGATCCCTTCCACACTGCCCCTATATTCTAGGATCTGATCTCAGATTATCTACTTATCTCAGGTTATCTGGCAGTGGAGACTCATAAAATCCAGTTTAAAGCAGATAATGTGGGATCAGATCCTAAGATATAGGGCAGTGTAGATCCAGGAACCTTCACACAGCCCTATATCCCAGAATATCAATGCAGAAAATCCCACAATATCTGCACTGAACTGGGTTATCTGAGTCCATACAGCCATATATTCCAGTTCGAAGCAGATAATGTGAGATTTTATTCAGCTGTGTGGAAGGGGGCCCAGTTTCACTTGCATCTTAGCTCTGGCCACACTGCCAACCCAACTCTGCATGCCAATAAAATTCTATGGTATACTGACAGTTGAAAGGGGGGCATCTTTCAAAGAGGCTTTAAAATGAACAGGATGGAAGAGAGCTGTGCTTCTCAAAGAGTTCTGAGGGCTTCAAATCATTTGTGACATATGGCAGCCCTAAAGTGAACCTGTCATGGGGTTTTCCTGGCAGAATTTGTAAAGAGACTCATTTTACCTTCCTCTGACGATTTGCCCAATGTCCTTAACTTAGTGGGGCCAGACAGGGACTCAAACCCTGGTCTCACAGTATTCCAGTCCAACACTGAAACCACTACAAAACACTGGCTCTCTGGATTACAATGCTATTTTAAATTAGACCTATGCTTTGTTGGCAACTTATTCCAGTACAAGAATTGTTATTTTTCTGTCAACACCAATATGTGGTGGTGGCAGAAGACCCCCTTCAGGAGCCTCAGAGACAACCAGAAGAAGGCCATACCTATAGCCCATACCTCTGTTAATCTTCAAGGTTGAATTAAATTGTAAGGAGACATTTACAAAACATGCAACACCAGAGAACCTATCAGAAAGTTAATACTTCATGTTTTGAACCACAGTCAAAGGGAACCACATCAACCAAAGGCTAGGTAAAGGTAAAAGTTTTCCCTGACGTTAAGTCTAGTTGTGTCTGACTGTGAGGGGTGGTGCTCATTTCCATTTCTAAGCCGAGGAGCCGGCATTGTCTGTAGACACCTCCAAGGTCATGTGGCCAGCATGACTACATGGAGCACTGTTACCTTCCCGCCGGATCAGTACCTATTGATCTACTCACATATGTTTTCGAACTGCTAGATAGGCAGAAGCTGGGGCTAACAGAAGGACCTCACACCACTCCAAATTCAAACCTGCAACCTACATTTTAACAATTAGTCCAGCTATTAAAGCTGTTTCACATTAACCTTCCATCTAAACAAAGTCCCCTCTTTTTCTGCAATAAGGCCACTACCCAAAACACCTACCAACTTGTAAACATCTTAAACTGCAACTTCTTCCTTCTGCTACAATGTGAGATTCCTGCATACCATGTTATCAGCCCATCTAATCTGACAAACAGCCCTTCCTCCCCTTTCCTGGCTACGAGTCATGCTCAGTTGTGCAACCCCATGTCAGAGCCTCTCACGCCTGCCTTGCGCTAGTGTGCTCCCACAGAAAGGCAGCTCAGTGCAAGTCAGAGTCCCTGAAAGGCACTGTGATTTCACAGGCCACAGAAACCCTCACACCCAATGTGGCAAAAGGAAACCTCCAAGTAACCTCTCCGCAGCACACACTAACTGCACTCAGGAGGATTTCCCCCTCCCCTCCATGTCCTGTCTCCAAGGACTTGGAACAAAATAGTTTAGATGTAACCCAACCAAGAGAATGTGAAAGTGGCTTAAAAAGTATCCCACATTCCCCAGTATAGTATCAGCCTTCCTTGTCAGTAATCCTGGAAAGGAAAAGGCCCTCGAAAGCTTTCACAGGCCTAGAAAGTGCCAATGGGCATCCAGCCAGTAAAAGCAGCTCTTCTTTCCTGGACAAACAACTATTCCCAGCCTCCTGATGCCAAGACTGGGCTGACCTTGGAAGAGCTGCTTTCTTGAAGCATCCTTTACTGGGGCAGAAGAAGGCAAAAGGACTTTCCAGTCAGCTGGAGAGCTGTGACCTCTGGCCTTGCCATCCCCAAGTAGCAGCCGAAGTATCCTCACTCACCATACGGCCATTGGGGACGCCCAGGTGCTTGGGTTTTCCCAGCATGGCTCCTGCTGCTGTCCCAGGTAGCCCCAGGAAGCCAGGACCACCGGCCTCCCTTGGAGAAGGCCCTCCCTGAGGCTGCGGCACGGCCCTCTCAGAGCATCCCCAGCGGCGGCCGGCCGGGAGAGAAAGAAGGCGTGCAGCTGCCTGCCTGCCACACTCACAGTGCCGCACTCACTACCTCTTTTCTCTACCACAGGAAGTGTCACTATGGAAACCAAAACCACAGCTCAAAATGGGGTTTGGAAAGAGACTCCCTCCTTCTGAGAGCCCAGCCCCACACAGGCACCCACAGCCCAAGGCTTTGTCATCTGTCCAAGGCTGGAGCAATACATTTCCCTGCAGGACTGTGTCTCCGCCTGATAAGAAACCTGGAACTTCAGGAGCTCAAAGGAAGCCACACACATGTCTTGCCACCCGGGGGGGGGGGGGATTGAACACAGGCAGAAACACAGGTAAATGGCATGCTCAGGCAAAATTGCAGCGAAGGAGAGAAAGCCTGGAGACAAGGTGGCGACGAGGACAAAGTCTCAGACACATGCAATTGCCTGGAGGGATCACCCACGGCATCAGGAACACAGGCCCTTGTGGCATTATCCTCCCACAGTGGCAACCAAGCTAAAGGGACACCAATTAACTGGCTGGGACAAAGCTGGGGCTATTATGTCTGCATGTTACCTCTAGTCCAGCCAGCCAAGTACAGACGTGATGCTACGTGTACAATTGTTCGGTACAATGTCAGTTGTATTTACTTCTGTATCACATATCACATATTTATCCTTCATTTCTCTAAGCTGGGGTTAAGATCGCAGAACTTCCTGTAGATAACAAAATCGGTCGTATACAATGACATCATAAAAAAGTATCCCTTATGTAAAAGGATTGCTTTTAAGGTTGTTTTTGAAGGGAGGTATATTTTTAAGCCATGGGTGGTAGAATCTGCAGATGAAAGTTCCATGGAAACACAAGGCCAACTGTATAGGACTATACTATAATTCCATTTTAACAGCCATAGCGGCATCTTTTCTCTAAACTACACATTCCAAGAGTGCATATAGTGTTGCCAGTGCAGTTAGAGTGGAATAATAGCACTATAATAGAAGCCCCTTCTACTGTGCCATATAAAATCCAGATTATCTGCTTTGAACTGGATTCGATGGCAGTGTAGACTCATATAATCTGGTTTAAAGCAGATAATGTGGATTATTTGCTTTAATAATCTGGATTATATGGCAGTGTAGAAAGGGCCCGAGTAGCATGAATAGACTCATAGTTTCTGCACACACATTCATTTTATCCTCCCAGCCACACGATAGGCAGTTTCACTGGAAAAAAACAGACCAAGCCAATTAACTCAGACCAGTCTACACTGCCATATAATCCAGTTCAAAGCAGATAATCTAGATTTTATATGGCACAGTATAAGGGCCCTCATATAATCCAATTCAAAGCAGATAATGTGGATTATCTGTTCTGATGATCTGGATTATATGGCAGCGTGGCTCAGAAAGTATTGTAGGTGTCCAAGGCCTTGAACTTGGCCTTCTCTGGTCCCAATCCTACAATCCAGCCAGTACATCAGACCTACTGGGGAAAAATGACAATTTTTGAGACTGGTTTGGCACATAAAACAACAGTTCCTGCTTTTCTGGCCCCTTCTACACTGCCATATAAAACCCAGATTACATCAGTGTAGATTCATATACTTCAGTTCAAAGCAGATAATGTGGATTATCTGTTCTGGCAGTGTAGAAGGGGCCTCCGATTCTACCAGAATTAAATCAAGGTGTGAATGAAAACAATGGTTGCCTGCAGCTTTACTTGTCATGGGTCACTGTGTATTTATTGTTATTGTTGTGTGCCTTCAAGTCATGTCTGATTTATAGCAACCCTAGGGGAATCCTATTACAGGATTTTCTAGGGCTGAAAGTCTGTGACTTGTTCAAGGTCATCCAGTAGGTTTTCATGGCTGAATGTGGGATCACACCTTTGTTTCCAGAACTGTAGTCCAACGCTCACGCCACTACACCATTGTAGTTTTTGTGAATACTTTACAATCAAAAGGTATATGACTTCTACATCCAGTTTGCCTCTTGGGGATCCCTCTGAGGAAGCTGATTTAGCTTTCAGACTGGAGAAGTAGATGTGTGTCATGGCTGCGTGAAGCCATTCCTGCTAAGCGTGGAAAACCATATTATGTAACCAAAGCAATTTGCTCTGGTGTTTATGACTCATAGGAATAAAAGAGTTGGGCATTTCTGATCCAGTGCAAGGATATATGAATGTGCTGCACGTCACACAAACACAAGGCAATCTGTGTTACCTCCAGGGTGTGTGAGCCTATGTGGGCTTAATACAGATGACACATCAGGTAACTGGATTAAAGACTCTATAAGGGTTTCCTCCTTGTATTGTAAACATTCTCAGGCTTGCCTGCCTGTGAATATACGTAATTAGTGTTTTTAGTGGAGATGCTATTTTCTATTCTTCTGTCAAAAATCTAGAACCCAATTCACACCCATCATAGCTTATGTGCAGATTTTTTGTTGCAGAAGTACTTGCTTGTGCTTTCAAGTCATCTTCAATGTATGGCAACCCTATCCTGGGATTTTGGGTTTTCTCCAGAGGAAGATTTCCATTGTCTTTCCTAGAGGTGGAGAGAATGTGTCTTCCCCAAAGTCAACTAGTGGGATCCCATGGTTGATCAGAGATTTGACTCTGGTTTCCCTGAGTCCTAGTCCAAAATTCAATCCAGAACACCATGCTGGCTCCCTATGTACAGAGTATCACTTTTAATTTCTGTCAGGTTTACCAGCCAGGAAAAGGATCCTGGATTCTAAGTGCTGCAATGATAGTTTGGGGGTGGAGGGGGTGGGTTATGATATATTTGTGTCTGGTGATAATTTATGATAGCACTTTTCAACAGACCATTAAAAGCTACTGCAGAGAATGGCAGAAGGTATCATTGTTCTAATAAGATTTACCTATAACTATCACTTTTCAGTGGTCTAATTGTCTCAACGTCACTAGGTCTCATTTGGAATTTGAAAGTTAAGCAGGGTCATAGAATCATAGAATCATAGAGTTGGAAGAGACCTTGCAGGCCATTCAGTCCAACCTCCCAGCCAAGAAACAAGAAAATCTGTTCAAAGCACCCCCAACAGATGGCCATCCAGCCTCTGTTTAAAAGCCTCCATAGAAGGAGCCTCCACCACACTCCGGGGAAGAGAGTTCCACTGCTGAACAGCCCTCACAGTCAGAAAGTTCTTCCTAATGTTCAGATGGAATCTCCCTTCCTGTAGTTTAAAGCCATTGCTCTGCATCCTAGTCTCCAGTCAGCTCGGGTGGGTATCTGGATGGGAGATAATCAACAAATGTGGGCTATGCTTTAGAGAAAGGAGCTGCAAAACCACATCTGAGTATCCCTTGCCTCAGAAAACATTAAAATTCATGGGATCAACATAAGTCAACAGGCAACATGAAGGCAACATAAATACACCAATTTGCTTCTGAATTAAGGCAGGGGTACAAAGGAGCATTGGCCAAAATTCAACTAGCATGCACCCACTGAGTTTACTGCTGAATAGTAAGTCAGCACTTACATAAATCCAATGTATTCAATGGGTCTGATCTACCTGAGACTAGAACAGACATGGGCAAACGTTGGCCCTCCAGGTGTCTTGGTCTTCAACTCCTACAATTCCTAACATCCAGTAGCTGGCTGGGATTTCTGAGAGTTGAAGTCCAAAACAGCTGGAGGGCCAAAGTTTGCCCATGCCTGGACTAGAAACTGGATTCAGGCCAAAAACAGGGAGGTGATCTCAATATACAAAGCACAAACACTATTCTGACTTTCCCTTGAATTATACCATTGGAAGTGCTAAGACTCCCTGAGGAAGATCATCTGACTCATTTGGTTCTGTATGAATGTATTGGTGCTTTCAGAACCACGACATGACTGTTGGACTCTGTAACACCGAGGTCTTTACTTTTAGCCTATGTGCCCCTCCCTCCTTTTCCCCTGACACATCTACTACTGAGCCCGAGCGCGGCGGAGAGCCCCGCCTTCACATTGGTGTGAGTTGCAGCGGAGAGTTCCGCAGTTCCTGGACCAAGGTTTTGAGGCCAACAGATGGAATGCGCCCCAGCCGCTAGCTCAAAGACCAGGAATGCCTGCAGTTTCAACTAGCCTTCCCCTTCCCTTACTTTGTATCTTTCCCCTAATAAAGTACTTGAAACCTGCAACTTTTTATCTTTCCGCATGTTACTTTTGTATAAGATGGCGGATCGCCGCCGTTCCAATTTTATATTATTCTACAACTAATTTTAAGGCTAACTGTCATTTCCTTTTCTTCGTTTTGGGCTCCTTCCTCCTCGGGGAAAAATTTAGTTTTGTTTTAAGTATTTTATCTTGCAGAGAAACAGCTGATTGTCAGTCTGGCTGGGTTTTCCGCTTCTCCGCGGCAGTGCTCGCTCCCCATTGATTCCAGCAGCCTGGGACCCACGGCGCTCGCCCGAAGGAGCCCCAAAGGGGGGGCCAGGCATGGGTCCCGGGCCCCGACTGGGGAGATACAGTTTCCAAAGGACATTGCCCCACCATTTGCTGTTTGGAAATCCTCTTCGGACTCTTTTGCCCTTACTTACTGACTTTCTGCCTTCTCGCCCTGGACTATTTACACGAACCTCAAACCAGGATTGCCTGGGTGAACAAACAACCTCAGCCCGCGTGAGCCTTCACCAAGAAGACTATGATTCCGACGGAAATGAAATACATTATTATTATCACTTTGCTGGGTTGAGGATGGGGATTCATTTATGAAATATAAAATGTATATAGTGGATATCTATCACATGAAATGTACCCTGACTCCCTTCCCCACCCTTTCCCTCTGAACTTTGCCCCAAAAAGGAACGTGACCTGAGGTTACTGTTAAGAGGAAATCCCTTTTCCTCCAGGTAAACCAGTCCATATTTACATCTGCATGGGCCCGTGATTGATCCTGTCTCGAGGCTCATTTTCAGAGCAGACAATGAGATAAGAGATGGGTCAACAGAAACTCCGGTAGAAAGATTGATTAACTCAATTTTTGGTGTTTGTTGAGCTCCTTTGTCTACAGGGCCCCTTGTTTACAGAGTTTTGAGATCCAAATGCCATCAACAGCCCTTTTCATATTTTCTCTCAAATCCTATCACCGGACCAGGAAACTCTTTGTTCCTCCTGCCTGCCACCCCGCTGATAAGAACAAAGGCTCGG